TTGGAAATGGGAAAAGCTAACAAAGACAAAAAGAAAAAAAGGATTTATTTAAAATGTGGTTGGGGATGAATTTTACTCTGTAATAAGACCAAGGGACAGACTTGCCCCCAAACAAACAAAAACAAAAGGGTTCTAGATCAAATCAAACCTCAATTCTCACCAGAAGCTAAAATTGCTAAATTGAGACTATAATACTTTGGACACATCGTGAGAAGACATGACTCACTGGAAAAGGCATTAACAGTAGGAAAAGTTGAAAGTAGTAGGGGGAAGAAAGGAAGACCTAATATGAGATGGATTGACACAATAAAGTAAATTACAAGACCTAAGCAAGGCAGATAAGATTTTATGAAAGTTCACCAAAAGTCAGAAGTAACCTGATAGCACACAACACACCCACACCGAATCTACAGTGCACATGTCCACTAAACTGAAGGTAGGAATGTGCACTACAATGGGCTCCTTAGCCCATTAGGCAAGTGACCTTGGCTCAGATGCCAAAGTTAATGTGCTTCTAGTCCTACACCTTTACAGTCCACATGTTTAAGTGTTGAGGAGAGTTTGTCTGCATCCCTTCCACAGTACAGTGGTGCCTCGCTTTACAATTGCCCCGCATTATAACGAAACCGCATTACGACCATCTTTTAGCGATCACAATTGCGATCACAAAACGATGGTCTGAATGGGGTTTTTTCGCTTTGCAATAATCGGTTCCTTGCTTTGGGAACTGATTCTTTGCAAAATGATGATTTTCCTCCAGCTGATCGGCAGTTTCAAAATGGCCACCGGGTAAATAAAATGGCTCCCCACTGTGTTTTGGGACGGATTCCTCGCAAGACAGCCACCAAAAATGGCTGCCCTATGGAGGATCTTTGCTGGACTGTGAGTTTCCAGCCCATTGGAATGCATTGAAGGGTTTTCAATGCGTTTCAATGGCCTTTTTATTTTCGCATTATGACGTTTTCATTCTACAGCGATTTCGCTGGAACAAATTAACGTCGTAATGTGAGGCACCACTGTAATCCTATGGTTTCTGCACAGATCTCAGAAGCACCCTATGGGAAGGCTTTGTCTGCACAGACTGAAGTAGTATGCCCCTAAAAAAGGTAGGTATAGAGAAGCCTTCCTTTAGCCAAAATATGCCTCAGGGTATTTACCAAAGCAGAATCCAGAAATTTACCCCAAGAAATCACACTATTCCTGTGAAGTGTCTCTATTAGCACTACCTATCCAGTGCATTGCAGTTAAAAGCATATACAGTCGTGCCTATGCTAATACCCTATGCTAATACTTGTGCACTAGAGGATTGTGGGAGGAACACCTAGCCCGTGATGGGGGTCCCGCAGGGCAGCCCAAAACACTGATGAGCTCTCTTGGCCTCTGGCAGGACTGGGGCTGTGCAGCCCTGTACTGAGTGGGAGGTGCAGCCAGGGAGTCACCATGCCTTGGGGGGGTCAGGGGACAGAAGGGGGTATGAGGTGCAAGGGCCATTCCAACTCATACCTTGCAGGGGAAATACCATGTCATAAAAGTGGTTTTCCCAGGGGGAGACTCATCCATTGCTCTTCAGGTATGTTGCTGATTCCTGTGATTTCCCCAAATGTGGGGAACTCAACTGCATAATTTGTGTTAATTGGATATTGCACTTGTGATTTCTCTGGTTTTTCTAGATTCCTTTTCATCTTTCTTTCTTCTCATCAGGACATATTATAAAAGTAGCAAGTCCTGGTATATTGCATTCTTCCTCTTTTTCTCCCCTATGGTAAAGGATCAGGGCAAAAGGAGTCACCATTATCAAGAGCCAGGGGGCTGCTTTGACTCTTTTCATCCTCTTTCTTTGTTGCTGGAGAGAGAAAGAGGGGGAAGGCCATCTGAGACACATTGAATTTCCAAAGGCAGTGCAGGTGACAGGATTGTTTTTTCCCAATATGGTATGGGGAACTGTGTTTTGCAAAATGATGTGGACAATTTTCACAAGACAGTGATTATTTATTTATTTATTTATTTATATGCCGCCCACACTACCCAAAGGTCTCTGGGCGGCTTACAAAATTTAAAATACAATAAAAATTCAAAACAATTAAAATACAATTACAATATTTTCCCCCCCAATTGGAACGCATTAAATTGATTTCAACACATCCCAATGGGGAACTGGGTTTTGCAAGACAATGTTTTCGCAAGACAGCAATTTCCATGGAACGAATTAAAATCGTCTTGCGAGGCAACACTGTACTCTGGGATCAATGGCCAAACCTTGTCAGAAGAGCTGAAAAAATCCTATACAAAAATCCATCAACAAGTTAACCAGACACTGAACCAAGAGAGGACAGGCAAAAGTACATTATAACAGGCATGGAGAAGTGACAGTGCTGAACTCAGGTACAATGCTAATCTGAGAGAAACTTCAAAATAACACACATTAAAACAGTTTTAGTTGAGGCAGTGATTCATTGTCCCTCAACTCCTTTGTAGAAGCTAACTTCCTTCACAATATATATAGAAATCAGTATGTAATGTAAAGTGTAGACACACAATTTTTAAAAATGTAAGCACACACCTACTCTGTAAAATGGTTTGGATGTTGAAATGCAGTTTCACATTATTGCACCAGGCCTCTATGGCACCAGTAATAACTAATAAGCAAGCCTATAGCAGGCCTGTGAATAATATGTGATTCGGTGCATAAATAAGGATTCCTACCATCCTTGGTCTTGCCTGTTAACAAGGAGCCTTGGCAACCTTCCATCTTCAAAGTGTGTGGACAAGGAGGTGCAGCAGATTGTCAGAAACAGTGGTGGATAAGGCAGGACAGTGCTCTGCATAGTTTCCAGGTCAACGCCATGACTAGAAATGTATTTGTTAAATACGCAGTAACTGGCTTGTTTGATTAATCTGAACAAAAAAAATGCCCAGAGAAGATCTCATGTTTTAATGGCAAGGGAAACGGTGTTGGTTTGGAATGGAATTTTTAAAAAAATACTGTATAGCTCTTCTATAACCTCTTATTTCTTCCCAAAAATAGAAGCAAGAGCAATAAATACGAACGTGCCTTTTCAAACTGTGTTAACAATACAATGACTTGTGTCTATGGCTGTTAACTGCTTTTTAATTATGCTAATTGCCTTGAAGCCCAGATTGTGGAGAAAGGCAGCATACAAATTAATGAAATAAATAAAAGTACTGTATCCTATATTGCAGAACTGAAATGTGGTGACAACTAAAATTAGCTACAGTAAGCATTCCATTTTTTTTTACGAAACATTTTCTATTATGGTTCGTCATTTGGCCATAACATGGTTCCCTTAACATCCCTAAAATTATTTAGAAATCTAACAGAACACTCCTATGCATACTGATGTGAAAGGACTTCCTCCCCGCAAAGTTCAACTTGGTTTGCCTAGGTAAGGAGATGTAGGGCTGGCATGTATTTCCATACAGATATCTAAAGGACAACAGAGTTAGGCTGCAATCTTATACTGTACATAGTTATCTGAGAGTAATCCTACTGTATTCAGTAGGACTGCTTTCTCAGTGGACATGTATAGTATTAAATGCAATGTAGATATGTACATGATGAAATAAAAAACTACAGGAATTGCAATAGTCTAAACAGTTTTCAGATTTTCCAGTAGCAGTCGTGCTTTACTGACATGTTTACGCATTACAAAAGAATCTGCTCCATGAAATAATTAACTCCATGAACGTATACAAATATTTAAACAAATCACATATGCAATTTGCATTTTATAAATGCATTTGCAGTCCATCACTCAGAAAAAGAATGCTGGAGTCTCTCATAAGGTAAGAATTTATAAGACAATGGGGGGGAGATGCTACCATGAGGAAGGGATTTCATCCTCATTTTGCTTCAGTGACAGTGAAAATAATCTTTGGAACAGCACCTGTGATGCCAATTGTCCACCACATTTAAAATCCTCTTCTAGTTTCAAGTAACTTCTGCAATTTAAATTGGCATCTTCATGTTGGAATTTACAAGAGTAGGAGATGGGATAGGAACAGACATGATTAGAGGTCACGTAGTCTTTTTGACACCTTGAAATGTACTAGAAAGGCAACCTCAAAGAAAGCAACAGAGATATGGTCTCTATCAGATCTCCTGTCCATGCGTCACGAAACAAGATGTGCAGAGTTCGGAGAACATGTCATGTGCAATGCACATTCTTGTGTCATGCGATCTGATCACAATTCTGCATGCATCCCTGTCTCACTGCACTTGATAAAGGCGAAGCGAGCTGAAGACGCCAAGGCAACGACAGGCAAGAAGGTGGGCAGGTCCATTAAAAGTGGGGTGGGTGGGTGAGTGGATATTTTTAAGGTGCCTCAAATCCACTGAACATGGGAGGGTGAGGCTAAGGGAGAAAGACCCAAACGCCAAAGCAGGGGACGTTGCAAAGGCGCCCAGGAAAGCCATCTGTAAGTATGGGGCAAGGACACCAATGAGGTTAGCAGACAAGAGAGGAAGATGCCCCAATTCTCTTCCCTGTGTGCAGGGACCAATACCTGACAGGAATCTGGAAGATGCTGTCAAAAGGGAGGCACGGAATGCTGTAATGACTTCAAGAACCTTAGCTTGGAGAATCGCCCCCCCCCAAACAAAAAAAAAAGCAGGAAGGGAAGAAGACATTTCCGATGCCTGGAAGTCTGGAAGAAGTCACCGTCCCTTCAAAATTCCCTGGAATAACACTGATCATTGTTTGTCTTCTCTCTCTCTCTCTCTCTCACACACACACACACACACACACACACACACACAAAGAGAGAGAGAGAGAGAGAGCCCTAGTTTCTCCAAGCCTCGCCCTGTTCTCACCATAAAACACTACCTAACTGGGTTCCTGCACCCTTATTTTCTTCTCTTCCCCCCCCCACCGCACCCATTCCTCCTCTTCGATCCCCGACTTAGAGGAAAGTTGCTCCATCCCAGAACTGTTTAGCGCCGGGCGAGGACTCCGCGGCTCCCGAGGGCGGCCGGTCCTTACCTCGAAAAGCTGCGGGATCTCCCTTTTGGCCAGGTACTCCTTGGCGTCGCAGGTGCTCATGCCGCCTGGCGGGGAGAGAGGGCGAAGGCGCGGCGGCGGCGGCGGCGGCTGGCGGGCGAGTTGTTGGGGCTTCTGCTCGCCGCCTTCGCGGGGGCTCACTTGCTCGTCTCTTCCTCCTCCTCTTCCTCGCCACCGCCGGCAGGCAAGCAAGCCAGCCCTCCTTGCCTTGCCCTTGCCAACCGATCACCGCCCCCGGAAGGTCAGGAGAGGAGAAAGCGAGCGAGCTGGCCGGCACTTTCCCAGCGCCGCCGGAGCTGCATCGATCCCCACCCCCCCCCCGCAGCCCAGCCTAGCCTTCGCGCCACCAGTGAAGCTACGAGCCCGGGGGTGG